TTTTGTGTTTAATTGGATAGTTAGATGAAGTAAGTTTCTAATTCGGTGGTCTTGTCTTTTCCATATTACACTTTTTTGTAGTTTAGGGCGTGGAATTTGTACTATTCTGTTTTTATAAAGATTAAAATTGATGTACTTACACCATAGTCATTATTATAACATTACTAAGGCTAAGGCATTTTTTTAAGGGGGGAAAATCATCGATTGACTACTCCCGCCTGGGTGAGGCGGGAGGGAGTGTCAGACTCTTACTGAATAAAAACCACCCCGTTCCTTCTCCTGCACGTCGAGCCGGAGCCCCGGTAACCCGTTAGGTTCTCCGGGACAAGGACTAAGGCTACCGCGGCGGCCGCGGTAGGAAATCGCGCCGTGAGTTCTTAACCTATTAACTCCGCCCTACCTTTCCTGCACGTCTCATATGAGGCCTACTAGGCGACTAACCTTCTCTTTGTGAGGCTGTTGATATGATGTGATCACTGAACAGTAGTTTTTTCTATTTAACCTGCACCTTTTAAATTGCAACTTCCGGACCTACCAAGCGTGGGGTTTCTTTACGTGATTGACAAACCCACCCCCTTTGTGCTGTTGATGAAATGGTCCGAATAGAATAGCAAATTTTGAATCAATTCGTACTTAATTTTTTTTTGGGTCATTAAAATTTCGTGGTGGTCCGAAGGTTTAAGACATCCGCATCTCAAGCGTGGGTTCGAAACCTACCAACTGCAAGTACCGATGTGACTTTTTCCAAGTTATATGTACTTTCTAAGATTATCTAGATACCGCTGACAAAACGGTGAAAGAAAACATCGTGAGGAAACCTGGGATTTTAATTTCTAATTATAAGTTTGTAATCGCTAACCCACGTTGAGCAAGCGTGGTGATTATTGCTCAAACCTTCTCCGTATGAGAAGAGGCTTTGCTCAGCAGTGGGTATTTATAGCCTGTTGATGGTGATGATGAATTGATGATACTTCAGCAGTATTTCGTCGGTACCAAAATAGCGACAAACTTAACGAGAATGTTTACGATCATAATAAATTCGAAAGTGAATTTACACTTCAATAAATAGGTATACAGTAATTAAAGTAAAGTAGATCAATCCACACTGTACGAGCTCTAGTAGTATAGTAACCGGTACACATAGGCGGAGAGCTAGATAGATGAGATTCTTCATCATGTCATTGATGTTTCATGATGTCTTGTAGATTGAGTTTAAGAATGGATTCAGACTTTTTTTGACGGTGAAAATCATCCAATGACGTCTCTCGCCTTAGGTTAGGTGAGAGAGAGTTTCAGACTCTTACTGACTAAAAACCACCCCGTTCCTACTCCTGCTCTTCGAGCTGGAGCCCCGGGAATCCGTTAGGCCTTCCGCGGCTCCGTATCGGGCAGAATGTATTCAGTTTGGATTATTATGATAGTGTGTGTCTTAGTGTAAAAGGTAGAAGAGAGAGATTACTGTCGAGCAAAGGGTTATAGAAGGTTATCTGTTTTTCCTGTAATAATAATAACACAGAGTTTAGAGTTGTGGCCTGTGCAGGACTATAGGCTTTTTCGATTACTATGATGATAAAATCTGAATTATAATCAGTCTTTGACTATTGAGTTCATCAAGTTACACGACCTGACACCCCTAGTTCACCTTTAAATAAATGTAATAGACACGGTACTTCATTTTGCACCCCATAAAGTTTTATATTTTTCGTAACATTTGACCTTAAGTCGAGTTGAGTCATTACATGCCCGTTTTAACCTTGGTGTTAAACTTTTAATGGGATTCGGATCTTGTGTGAAATTAATAGCTTAGATTTTAGTGTTTTTATTGATTTCTAATAGTGTTAAAACTAATATTACTTATATCTTTTATTAATGAAATCAATATCGGATGAAAATACGTAGCTATACTTAAATCTGCACGGAAGATCACTTCATGATGAAGTTGAATTAGTAGCGATTATACTACATTCCTCAATTTAATTTAGACAAACAAAATCTAATTTAGAATAATACTTACAAAAACAAAAATATACACATAAATAAAGGTAGGTACAACACACACAAGTTACGGATGACACATACTTTATCACAGCAAACTCTTAGACTAGGCCAAAGCTTTTCCTGGCTGCGCTTGCGCGTGGAAAGTATTCTCTCGCAAGAAAAACGACTCGGATGACACTTTCCATAGGCTGACACGTTTAATTTGACAGTAATGACTGATCATTAACCACTAGAGCGATCTCGCTTTCCTCAGACCATCGATATTGAATCTTTTCTAATGATACCAGCTTTTGGTTTATCGTGAGATCTAGAGAGGTGGGTCATCCGTTTCTTATGGGCTTTCCTCTTTAGGAAATGGCTATTGAGATTATTTTTAACTTTCGTGAATTCTTATTTAATTAAGTTTATTATCAAAACATCTATAGTAATGTTGATGTTTTAGAACTTGGGCTTTTTGATTTTAAATTCTTATTATTAGAAATATATGCTTTGTTTAGTAGTACTGCATTTGTTTCTTATGAAAAAATTATATTTTTCAGAATAAACGTACTTATCTAACTTCTATTGTATTGTGATGTTTAAGAGACTTTGGAATTTGTTTTTAAACCGTCGTGTGTCTATACGTGGATCCACGTGAGACACAATTTATTTTCTATTGTCTCATATTGGTGCATTCAAGTGGTTAATAAGTTAGATTTTATCTCTTCATGTTGTACTATATCCTACCTCTTTTCTACTATTTCCTGGCCATTCGGAACACATCATTAGTTCCCATGAAGAAAGACTAAAAAATAATCAAGGTCCAGCTTCACCGGACGACACTTGTATAGATCTATCTACTTTTTATTGCATTTGCCTTCACTGACTAATGTTATTCAATATTGTTCAGTAAAGTTGAAGTTTATTGAAAATTGAAGCTTATGTGTTTATTGTAAAAGTTGTTTTCAATTGAAAGTTAAGGAAATTGTAGTCTGATGTGTTCAGATCGGTACAATGCATTAATTAAGCTATCATATAATATCATATCTTAGACCTTCTGAGAAATTAAAATCTGACTAGACTAACGAGGTACTCTAAAGTATTTAGAAAAACAACCTTGATGATTATCTTTATTCTGATGATCACTAAAAGAGTGAAGTCACCTTAGATAATATGGTTGTAAGTCATCAATATAAAAAAGAGACAAACCTACTCGATCACATTGAAACCATTAACAATTTACACAATCAAAACGAAACTACGAAAAAAAAACGTGTGAATCCGTGAATCCTCAATAACTTTACATTACACTGATTCGATATATCAATAGAAATAATCGTAATCGATTACAACCAAGGAATCGATCATGACAAATCGGTCAGAATATTTCTTTGAGAACTGTTGATATTTCAAACAATGGAATCGTTACCGTAATAAAATTTGGTCCGTGACAGACGGACAGACGTGTTCATATTTTACTGTTATGACTAAAACAAATTGGTGTGAGCTCACGAACTATCGTGTGACCGCTCTGACCTTAGGGGTTACCCGAAATATGCAAAAAGATTGCCAGATAATAAAATGAAAATATTTTTATTGACAGAAAAATACAATTGTCAGTGTTGCACAAATTATTATTTTCTTAAGTTTTTAGTTTTTATCTTATGCTAAATACCTTTTACTTTTCTTCTTATTTTTTGTTTTTTATTAGTTTTGAGTTTAAAATTAATCTAATTTATTATTTTTAATTAGATAATTATGTCAGTAGGGGTCTGAAACTGGCCAGTAGTATTCTGCGCTTAAAGTTTGGTAAAAGCATACCATCGATAAAAAAATCGAGACTTTACTTATGTATAAATGTTAAAAAGTAAGAATCTTTGTGGCCACAAACGTATCAACCGCTTAATACGGGTGTAGAGGCTATTTTCAGCTTTAAAGCGTTGTAAAACTGAAAGCAGCGTGCCTTTGATACTAAAAATAGAGCCACTGAATAAAACATAGAAGCTTAGCATATACAGGTCTACTGAAAAATATCCGTGAAATGTTTTTAAATAACAGATCTAACGAAGCAATCTGTTTTACGAAATGTAGGTACAAATGAAATAAACAGTTGGCACTCACTTCGAGTGCAGTTACGTGACATTTTACAAAATTAAACGTACTTCCAAGAAATTGTACTAGAAATGTTAATGTAAGTAGCCGAATTTGCATCCGACCATTTGACGTCATCACCTCGAAGGTAATGTACTACAATTCCAATGAAATACACCGCATACCACAGAGAATATAAAATCAAAGCAAATTTCCATAGTACTAACAGTGCGAGCGATGCAGAGCAAAATCAGGGCATTGCAGGCTGCCCCACTTTTGTTTTTCAGCATTCATTACGCGAATTTAGCCTTTAAACCTTCCCTAGTCTTTGGAATTTCAAAAAATATTCCATTCGCTGTACTTGCGAACGCAGTAGCTTCGTGGAAACTTATTCGTTTGACCTTACTAACCTATATGGGTTTATTGAACTAGGTTCTACAATAAAATCCATGGCTGTAATGTTATGGGCACAACTTGGCAATGTAGCAATTTTCTGGGAACACGCTCGTGAAATGTTCTACATGATTAATCGACGTGTTGTTCTTACAAAATGGCTTTTTGACGTAACAAGGAATTAAAACGACTATTTTAGTCATGTTCTTATTACGTTTATGGCCTATATATAAGAAGCGTAGTTATGTAAAGTTATACTTATTAGGTAAGTAAACCTAGTTAAATTAATTGGTGGTGTAATCCAACTGTCTAGTTCGAGTGACATTGCAATTAATTTTAGGATTACTGACGGGGATTAGTTTAAGACCACATGTGGACAAGACGATATAGATACTACTCATATGTATGCACGAGGAAACAAAACAGATTATAAAATGTAGATGGAATGTGAACTTTTTGGCTCAGACCATGACATAAAAAACGGTCCAAACAACAATGATCTGTCTAAGCTTAGAGATAAGTTCCAAAATGCGACTTACCACCACAGATGACATCAGCCAGGTTGGTCTGCACACATTGGTGCGTCACCGCTCCATCTCGCAGGGTCGTGATTTCTCCATAAAGTTGGTGTAATGCCTCTTGGTCCGACATCAGTATAGTACGGGGTGAAGGACAGTCATCCTCGATGCTGTTTGCGTGGTGACGAGAAGATGATCTGGATCGGGAGCGACGGCGTCTGAAAGAGATATCGATTGTTAGGAGAAAAGAGATATTGTTTTTATTAGGATTGTTACAAAATGCTTTAAAAAACTAAAAAAGTCACACGTAACTAAGTAACAAAAAATAGGAATATCCATGAAATACCTAATCCTCAGTTAATGCGCATACGACGTGTGAGAGCAATGGCCGCGCACCATTGTAAGGATCTTGCCAACTTTGCTAACCGTTATACCATAAAACTATCAACTTTAGAACAAGATTTAGCACTTTAGAAGAAACACACAAAAATGCTAAAACACACTTCCGTTATTTGCAAGAATAATGTCGGTCAACGGTAAGAATGCTATAGCTAAAGTTGGTAAACAGAAAATTCCCTTAAAAGGCAAGCGCTTCCAAATAGCAACGTAAGCGATGTTGAATACAAGTGACCCAGAACTATTGTGGCAGTCAATGAAGGCTTCGATTCAATGGGAAGGGCAATCGACCGGCTTGATGATGGAAACATAATAGATAACAAATTGTATAAAGGAAATAGTATCTGTATAGAATACAAACTGAGGTGGGGGAGGTTTTACGAATTGGAGTGTAATAAAATAATATAAACTGGAAGAATGAATATTAGGGTTGAAAACCAGTGGATTCTTTTGTTAGCTTTGCTTTATTTAATTTTGTCCATTTTAGAATTTTCCTTAGTTGCACACCTAATAGATACGGGTCGTTTATGGAAATAATCTGATCCCCATCACATGTTGTGAATAATGTTATAGTGCTGTAGTATCTTATCATTAATATTATTTCCATAGTTTCTAACGAAGTAATCGAACGAATCATGATAATGAAATTACAATGTACATAATATAATGTAAAGAAGTAGGAATGTAATATTACATAATAGACGCAAAAGTTACAAAATTGTTGAATTCAGAAAACAATGTAGCAAAAAATTAAAACGATAGTAAAGCTTAACAAGAAATACAGCAAAGACATGAAAATGCAAATGAATCTAATTAAACCGAAGCAAGCTAGTCTTTTTGCTGTAAACGAAGCTAAAGGATCTGGTTTAAGTTATTCCAGATATGTACAAGTTTGGCCTCATTTTGATAACAAGAAACTTGTTGAAGTCGATCGCTAGTCGCAACTAGTTTTAGATAAGATCCCTGTTTAGATGGATATGTTGGAATGCAATCGATGAAAGAGCCGCATACTGAATAGTCTGAATTATATCCTAATCGTTGTGTTGAAAGGAGAGAAGTTAGACCTAGTTTGAATATTGATGTCGCTGATGTATAAGACGGAATAAAAGAGGTTGAGGTCTATAAAATAATATATCTTGTTTTCCAGTCAACTGATGACAAACGTACTTTTACTAATTGCTCAAACTCAAAGATAGGAGTTTTGAAGTAAAAAACTATCTAATATAAGAAACGGAAACCTCCACAAATATACGTACAACCTAATTGTCGACCGATATAGACACATTCAGTTAAGTCATTAGACCAAAATTGTTAGCCATGCGTCTAGTCTAGTAATCAATAGAGTAGGTGTTACACAATTTATCCAAAACATACGCCTTCACACGTAATTACTGAACGATTGTCTAATTTTGCGTAGATATCGTTTTTTGTCATTTGCCACAACTTCCACTCGACATTCAATTTATTTGTACAACAATTTGTCTTTTTGTTGAGCCTGGTAATATTTATAAACATCGCCAGTAACATTACGTTTTTTATAACAACCAAATAAACATTATTTAAAACCACTAATAGGACACACTATTTATTTTAATGATTGGCTGCGTATAATTTATGTTTTACTTAATCAATTTCTTCGTGTGTATCTGTAATATGATTTGAGCCTTTTTCATTTCATTTAAGGTTGTATTTTGTCTGTGTATTGTCTCTTTGATCATCGTCACCAGAATTCTGCTACCAAAATCATTGCCCATAGTTTTTTGCTATCATTATAAAATCACGGTGTTTTTGTGATGCGAATTTGACAGTCGACGGAATTATTTTACGGGTTTGTCATTTGCATTAGTAATTGTCAATTGAATGTCGACAGGCAATTAATTATTCGATTAGTTAATGCTTTTTTGTTTCGTTCATTCACTATTGACATAATCAGTAGCTTTGTGTTTGTAATAATTGCCGCAGTGTTAAGCCTGGTGTGGGTTCAAGAATCCGATAATTATTGAATACCTCCTAATTTTGTGGTTGGAAGCAATTTGTTTTTCGGGCACCTACACACAATAATACTAATAATTATTACTCTATTACGTTTGGCGCCAACCAAGGATATTGAATAGGTAGCTAATAACCAAGATGGAGGAGATATAATGGAATGAAGTTTTTTTTTAATAATGATTCCTTTTGAGCTCAACAGTAAAAAAAGTACCAATACGTAATATAAAGATAAGCCAACCATGTCGCAATAATTTGGGTATGAAAAGAAATTAAAGAGCTGAACATTAGAAGATCTGAATAAAGAATGATCAGCCATTAGCAATATTGCAAAATTTCTAGATACGGGCCAAGGCCAGCAGCAGACTCCTAAAAATCTAAATCTGATGATTCTCAACCTTGTTTTCATTAATAATTCACACAGTGCAGATAATGTATGAAGTGGTGAGATAATAAGCAATCACCTTCGTGAAATAATAATGTATCGACCTCACAAATTATGAAACGACACCTACGTTACGGTCTTAATAAGCGAATGGAAGAATTATTACTGTTTGTGGCATTGGAAGGACGAACGGACATAATAACGTCAGGTCAAGAGTACCTGGGTACAGAAAACCGCCCACAATTAAGTATGTGAGACATTACACAGATATTTAACGCTACATTTATCTGCAATATGACTTGACCCGAAGATGGCGACTATAAAATCAAATCAACCATATTTGATGAAATTAGACACAGTCCGTTCGTTATTTCAACTGGATTAAACATTTTTTGCTCTTTGTATTGTGTTAGCCTGTTGTTGATATTTTGTAAGACAGGTAGTTATTAGTCATTGTGAACAACAGAAGTAAAACCAATGCATTTATTCCGAGCCATTTAGTTCGTTTAAAAACCAATAAACTTCAATTTTGTATATGCTAAACGAAGCTGAAAATATCTCGGATTTATCTGGCAAACAGATTCGATTATTCACATTATTATTCAGTCGACTAAATTGACTTGTGAACGAACGGCCATTTTGAATTCGCACAGTGTCAAGTTGGCGCCAAAATTGGTCCTCTGAACGCATATCGCGTTCAATTTCGTACAACATGTCCGCTTGGGATTGACATACTAAAATGGCGATGTGACTCATGTTTTTTGAGATTTAATAAATATTAATACCGTGTTCTGCTCTCCTTTGGGCTTAGGTAACAACCTGTTGAATGCGTTTTGTGACGTCAATTCTTTATTTGTATTCATAACAGTTGATGGAATACACAGGTAATCTGACTTAAGCATTTTTTATTTGTGTCAATGTCATTTCCCTGGGGGATACGAAACATTCAACATTTAAATCTGTTTCACGCTTCGGTTTCACAAGTTTGACGTTTTTTACAGACTCTGATTAATATGATCATTGCGCTGTACATTGTCAATAAACTATGAAAATAAATCTGTAATTCCGTTATCACTTTTTCTATCCTTTTTTGTGTCAATATCACGACAATTCAATTCCATTGTCAATTGTCTAATTTGATACGACCTAGTTTTTTGATAGCAATAATTCTATTTTAATTGTTCCTAAATTATTAAAATCAGAATTTAAAATTCGAAAATTGTGAGCTACAAAAACCGTTTATTAGTTTTTGTTGTAGACAGCTCGGCTGCGGAATTGTCAAAACTGCGATGAATTTTGCAATGAAACAAACTTGTGCAGTAAATTCCCGATTCACAGGGTTGGAACTAGTTACGAATTCGTATTTGGGTTGTAAAAACTTACTCAGGCGTGACTATAAAGAAGCCCCTCGATGTTTGGTATATTTTCCTCTCCTGCATCAGCTGAGCCAGCGTATCGTACACAACCTCCTGTGATGGTGTTTGCATCGATGGGAACTTTGCTGATAGCGATGTTCGTATACTTTCCAACGTTGCTGATTGTCCCTGTAAAGAAGAAAACAATTATGAAGTTATTAGGAAAATGATATCAATTGCTTTTTGATTATATCTGAAAATTACCTATTTAAGAAAAGCTATTAAATAGTGTTGAGTATTAAATTATAGGAATTACAATATGCAACATCAACCGATAAGATTTATTGATTACAATCCGTTGCTCCTATTTTAGATCCTCATTCCACAACCAATGTCAAAGCAGATACAATTATCATTTTAATCAATTCTTCAAGCTGCAATACCGTAATGAATTGAGTATTCAGCAATGTTGTGTGATCTAGAATAGGTAACATTGCTGATCGATCAATCTGATTCTAAACAATGATTACTCAAGCATGGAGTGACCAAACTTCGGCCATCAATCAATTATTATCTAGATCTGCTCGACTTAGCAGGATGTCTTCATTGAAACTAACCTTCACTATTTAGACATTTGGCATTGAATTTCATATTTGGTCAAGATATGATCTTTACTATTATAGGCATAGAGTTAATGCTATAACTATTGTCAGCTGTGGAATCTTATTGTGAGTTTAGACTTGACCTGTTTATTGTAAAAGGAATATCTTTTATTTAGATACATTCGTCTCTGATGATCGGATTCTTTTGTATCGATTAATAGTATTACTTTCAGTTAAGGTTACCGATTTGTTGAACATGCCTACCGATCAGATCTTTTAGCCATTTAAAACTAGCTTCTTTACATGAAAATAATTATAAATTCTAATCAATTGCTAAACGATTTCCATTAGTTGCTTAGCAGTTAATCAATGGCTACCAAATAGTTGGCTCACGCAAGAGATAAGCCAGCAACTTGTCACTTATAACTGAGTCTAGGTCTTTGAACCCAGTTTAATTTATTGCCGTATCATAGCCCAGGGCTATAACATACCTTGCTGTGACATAGTAAAGTTCCAGTCTAAATTGAGTCATGTCTATTTATCTAAAATCTAGATTCTTGATCTGTAGCAATTAATAGTTTATTCAGTAGCAATATTTCATCAATAACAATAATGTCTGCTATGATTGATGGTCGTAACTGTGACTGTCGGAGGTAGTGGTATAAGTTTTGTTTTTAAAATGACCGTAATATAGTTATGGTAACTAGCAAACTAAGAGTTGATGTATTTGTATTTGGATTTTGTTAAGAAAGGGTTTATTTTTGTGTGTTTGTCGATAGAATTCTTCCGCTTTTTGTATATAAGAGGATGATGATGATTTAAAGACGTTATCAAATGTTAGATACTTTGGTATTGGGTCTTCTTTCGTAATAATCACTAATTTCATCAATATCGCCTACACTTTGAGCGCCTAAAAATTCACCTATGGCTAATCTTTCCATATTGCATTACAAAGTAATAAATCAATTCAAGTTTAAGCAAATTTGATCTCGTTCAGTTATCGGTAGGCAATCTGAACAATGTTTGGTAATAAAGCCTTCGGGACACAGAATGTGGCAGAAATTAATGAGCATCCATTGTAAAGTGTGTGTAAATATTATGGCAGCATGATTATCTATATGGTTGTATGATTAAGTATTATCTGATTGAAATTACTCCTATATTGATTGAGTACTAGCAAGCAGAGTTTCGAACTAAATGGGTTCAGGGCAGGGCACTGCTTCTAAGTGCAGGAGTAGGAACGGGGTGGTTTTTAGTCAGTAAGAATCTGATATTTATACAGTGGTATAATGTGCACCTCTGCCTACCGCTTCGGGGATAAAAGGCGTGATGTTATATGTGAGTCTGATACTCCCTCTCGCCTTAGCCCGGCGGGAGAAGTAATTGAATGATCGCCCGCACAAAAATGGGGTAATTTCCCCATTTAAAATTGTCTGTAGTTACACGCAGGCTGTAGTTGTGTGGTCGTGTCTGATGGTATGGTAAAATAAGCTTACCCTCTATAACATTACACTCATATTAGCACAACTACTAATATTTTTTTTTATTTTTGAGGGGAAAAATTATACAATAAATTCTCTGAGGGGAGTATTAGACTCTTACTGACTAAAAACCACCCTGTTCCTACTTCTGCACTTCGAGCCGGAGCCCCGGCAACGCGTTAAGTCGTCCACGGCTGCATATCGGCATCAGTCCTATTGGGCCCCATCTGTAGTGGTCTGATGATTGTTTGAGGCGCACGCGGAATGCGACACGCCGTACGCTTGGGCCTGGTTCTGATTTTTAAATATCTTGTAACTATGGTCTAAAAGACATGATATTAAGTCGTATTTTGTTTACTTATATTCCTGTTAATTCTGACTTAACTGTCTTCATTAACTTGGATATTTTCTAACATAATTTCTGCATACTTTTTCAAAGAACATAATTATGTGCCTATATAACATGTTCATCATACCTCGACCTAGTAATTAAATTCCCAACGCGGCCACATTAAACGTAATCTCGGTCAGACATTACAGAGATGAAAACTCGCACTTTTTAATTGAGTCATTTCCTTTTAAGTTATAAAATGTCTTACTAACGTTTATCTCTTTCTAGGTAGACTGTTAGAATATTTGTGTTGAACAGTCACAACTGCACTTGAAATTATATATTAATTTAATATAGGTAATGCTTTACTCTCAAGTTTTTAATCAGTAAGAGTCTGACACTATAGGCGGAAGCAGCCATTCAATGATTTTTCCCCCTTTAAAAAAAGTGTAACAAACACTTTCGTGAAAACCGCATCAAAATTGGTTCAGCCAATCGCGAGATAATCCCGTACTAACATACGTATTACATGCAGGTCAATTTGAAAACCTGCTTTATTTTGAAGCATTTTGGTTAAAAATAGCATTTTCACCAAAAGTTGCAAGCAAAAACCCTTATATCGAACTAATTTACTGTTACACTCAAATATGTTCTAATAAATATATGGAACCTGTTATACAAGACTATACGAGTTACGATATTAAAGACCTTTACATTATACGGCTTGACACGGGCGTGGTCTAAAGAATGCTGTATGACACAATGGTGACATGTCGTCTGTAACTGTTCTAGAGCTAGTCTTGCAAAATCAATGAACTTAATATATTGTCTTAAAATTGGTTCAACGATGAATGGATTGGTTTTATTTCCGTTTCTTTTATTTAAATGTCGATGTGTTCTCTTGGATTATCTTATTTTTATATCTCTTATTTATTATACTGGTTCATTGCCTATTTATAAAGGTTTAAATCACCTGCTACTTTCATCTCTGCTTTGCTTAAAGGTTGACTGGGAGACAATGCCCAAGGCATTAAGTCCACCTGTACACACTAAAAATAAATAAATATATGTTTTTTTATTTAGTTTATGTAAAATAAAATGTAACCTACAATTCAAAATTGTATGCTAAGCAAAAGCTTTTATAGGTGAATACGCTCATCTGCTGCTCCTCAGAATAAGTTCAGACCAACAATAAATCTCATTAAAAACGATTCAAAGGCTTTTGTGGGAAAGTATATATAACTATAAAGATCATTATCGTTTTATGATAATAGTAAAGTCGATCAGAATGGAAACATAACATTCTATCAGCCATAAGACTTCCATACCAGCCAGTTAAAAGCGACCTGTATTCTGTCCTATGACCCTTATCAGGTACTCTGTTCAACTCGTCTGTTACTCTATTAAACCAAATTAAAATTTAAATGTTTATTCACCAATAACCTAAATCAAGGCTTCTAACTAATTAACCTATGAACTTCAAAAACGTTTTAAGAAAAATAAACAAGAAACTCGTTCCGGCAAACTATTAGAAATCGATGCAATCAAATCATTATATCTATGGGTAAAAACATCGAAAATGATTGATAGGCAATAATTCATCCTTCAAAAAACCTCAATACTAAGAAACCGGTAAAGTTTTTGCCTAAACCAAATATATCTGGTATTCCCCGATAGGGTAAACAGAGATGCTAATCGTTTTGCTCCAAAGGAATAGAAATTATATGAGTTTTAAAGAATCCTGAGGCGGTCAAATGGTCTTCCGACCGAGGTCTACCGAATACTCCATCCAACTGCATCACGGGTACATTGCTAATCGTTATCAATTACATAGATTTATTGTAAACATTGTCGAATAATTAAGGAAGAGGACATAATTACCCTGTTCTTAAGTTCGTCCTAAAGAAGTCCTTATGTAGCTTAAAAGATACTATGTCAAATCCGAGAATTTAATACAAATTGCAAAGCTTAATACTGCTGCCAAAACTCAACCAACAAAGTATCAAGTCAAATTTAGTCCAATAAATTCAAAACTGTCCTAGTACCAGCTTGTTCTTTAATAAATTAATGTTACTATCTAGTATCCTAGTCTAATCATAATCAAGAATTCCTTTGCAGGGAGGTATTGCATCAAGATCGAATAAAACATTTTGTGACAAGCAAAGGAAATCATAATAGCGATCTAGCGAAACTAGCACTCAAAAGAGCCCTGTGTAAAATTAAGATGAAGTAAGGAATATATCTAGTTTAATATTCAGTGATTCACTGATTCGGCTTCGGCACTTTTTTTGCTTTGGAAACAATACGAAAAGGTTATAAGTGCTCTGTCGGCGCGCTGTCGGCACGCCAGCGGCGCGCTTAGGGCTGCTTTATATTGACATTATGGAATATGTCATACGATATACGATTTAAAGTTCATATTTAAATGACAAGTTAATTGCTGGGTTGGAGCTGTACCGCAGACGTGTTTGTTAAGTGTGCGATAACTTTTATAAATTGTTTGTTTAGTGTATTTGAAATTATCTGAGATAGATTTAAACCTGGAATTATGCCTGTGTATGCAATAAACTTTTCTCCTATTGGTAATACGGGCTCGCAGCGCAACTGATAAACTATACAATCGCACCGCACTATACAATCGTATAAATTGGGAATGACGTTATAACCTCTGTATCATGAAAATGTAGAAGAGATGCCTCAAATACCATTTCATCACTTGATATATCGTACCGAAAATTCCTAAAATTTGCTCATACAAAGTAGTCTCTAAACATC